GTGTGTGTGTGTGTGTGTGTGTGTGTGTGTGTGTGTGTGTGTGTGTGCGCGCGCGCGCGCATGTTGGTATGCTCTACTTTAGCTCTTTATGCTGCTTTAATCTGGTGACGGTTGCTGTAAGTACAGAATGTAAGGTCAGCAAAAACCGAGGCTGTTTTGAAAATGTTGTTACAGAGCTCATTACAATTTAACTCTTCACACCACCAATAGAGGTGAAACTCCATCAATAAGTAGATATTCAATAGTGAAAATATGTTCAAAATGAATTGACTGTGAAGTATGAGTTATCATCTTTGAAGAATATTAATGGACCAAAAGCAATTAGAATTGGAGCCTGGGTGCTTTACCAGCAGAGACCTTGTGATGGTCTCTACACTGAGCTGACTCCGAGTTCTGACTTTGCAGTGACTTCGTCGCTGCCCCAGGGTGCCACATTAACAATTCTGGCCTTATGATACAGGGATTGGGAGGCTGATAGGGGGCCGAGGAGAGAGATTATGTTCAGAGACAAATGTGACCTCAGGCTATAGGTGCAATGAAAGTGGGGAGTAACTTTGAACAAGTGAAAGTAGACAATGTAAGGACTGGGGGAAACAGAGTGAAGGCAAATGAGTTCTTTATTCACAGAATTGCATCTAGTATTCTGTGAATTATTTAAGTTTCTAATTTGAATAGAATTTTGGAGTTGAGTTGCAACCAGAAGTTCATCTTAGTACAACTAATGAGTGGAATAACATCCTCCTCTACTGGTTGGAGTGGGTAAAGCACAACATAACTACTACAACACTTGATCTCAGCTCTTAATGTTTGTAACCTGTGCATGCAGTTTATATATTTTACAGTAAATTATTCCCTCCCTTTAACCAGCCAACAACAATAGCAGCTCTCACCACTTTGTGAGTCCCCTAGCAAAGAGCCACAATTGCTCCACAACATCCTGTTTGTGAGAACCAACGAGAGCTCACCAGACCATAAACAGAGGACGAGATTGGACTTCTGATAGCTGGCGTTGACCCCGCAGTCATCCTTAAAAACCCTTAGCACTCGAGTGGTAAAAGCAATTTCAATTTGCTCTTGATAACCTTTTCGGGAGAGGTTAGACGCAGCAGACGTTGGTACGCGTGATGGGAATCGTTAAAGGAATGCGTGCTCAGTCGGTGGCTAATTCGTTGTCTGTAATGTTACAGAATGAGCTATCACTCTGCTTTTGTTCACACAGGTGAGAAGAAGTGATCACTTACGGTATTTCCTAGCAACTTATTGCCTCATAAATTCACACAATAACTGTTCTACAGAGCCACTGCTCTCTGCTGTTCTGCACTGAGCAGTGGTAACTAACTTAGGCTGCCGTATTGCTGAAAATGTACTTCATTTGGAGTAGTCCCTTTTAAATAAACGACTGAATCAATGCACACATGATTACGGCTTGGGGCTCAGTGCTTTTTTTTTCTCCTGAAAGACAGCTTGAAGGGGAGGGAAAGCTGAATCATTTATTTGTTCGCTTCCAACTCTCATCTTTTACCAGGCTGCACACGAGCTTGAACTTTTAACTTCCCAGTCTTGAGGCTGCTTCTTGCGCTGAGTACGCTGCTCTCCACATTACACCCTTGTACAGTATTAGTGAGCTGTGACCTTGAGTCGGCGTGCCACTTTCAAGGTTAATGTCTTTGCATTTTCTCAGATTAATGTGTGACTTTTGACTCCATTTGAAGACAACGTCTGGGCTACATCTGTCCGTGAGTGTGTTTCCCTGTGTCCAACAGGCTGGAATCGGCCCCGTCTTTTGCACTTGCATATATGCATGTTGCATTTGTCTCTGAATTACTGAATGGTGCAGTGCAGAGTATGATGACTCTGCCACTCACCCTTATCTGCAACACTCAGGCAGCACTACTGCAGCAAGACAAATCAGGTGTAACAAGCACACACACACACACACACACACACACACACACACACACACACACAC